ATTATCAACAAACAAACAGTAAATTTGCTGTAAGAACAAAACGAAGTGACATACAAGCATCTAACTCCACAATGCAGAGTCATTCTTCGGAAGCTAACAGTTGCTCAGTTTGTCAAGAAATTAACCGCCTTTTAAGTAACTCGACTGGTCACTAGTTGCTCAGTTTGTCAAGAAATTAACCGACTTTTAAGTAACTTGACTGGTCACTGCCCTCCGCTGGCCTTTGAACTGTGGATGTAAAATTAATTAAAGAAAATTAGCTTAAATTCAAACCTCATTACAAACGATACAGCCACCCCTCCTCAAGAGGGTGGTTCCTGCTTCCATATATATTTATCATTGACACCATAGTAACAATCATATCAAGTGTTGTAAGTTAGGCGTACTACCGATACGCTTTGGAGGATAAAAATCAAGATATTACATTTCAGAGGTTGTGCCGTGTGCAAAACTCAGTCAACGACAAACGGAATAAATCGAATTCTGCCCACCAGTTTCTGTGAGGCAGTGATGGATAAGTGTTCGTGTTTGCCTGGACGTAGCGAAATATTTATCCGGAGTTCTTCTTTCGAACTTCTAGACATTCCGGTACAAGAAGCGGCTTTTGATCAAAATTCAAGTGAATTGTACTTCGTGCTATGATAAGTATGTACCTGGAAGTCTTTATACAACCTCTAGCGTGTTCCAGGATAAGTCTTCAGTAAAGTTAATGGCAAAGCTGATGACCGTAGCCTAAGAACGAGATAATGAACCTTCGAGTTCCAAAAAAACGGCAGAGAACATCTTGATCAACGGAGCGATTATTAACTTCTCAAGAAGGACTCTCCTCTGCGAAATTAGTTAATTATTTTTCGTCACTTGTATGAAAATATTACAAAAATAATGTAGAAACACAGTTCTATTGATGAAAAATTATTCCTTTCAGTTTTGTTGCGGACAGAATTCAGAGATTTCTTTTTTATTTTCTTGCTTTCATTATGTCTTTTAGTGTTATAAAGATGTATATCTTCTGAGATATTGCAATGGATGTATCAAGCTCCTCTGAAGCGACGGTAAACTTCTACCAGAAGATGACTGTCTTCTGGGTTGTTGAAGTAATCATCGCCTTAATGATTGTGGCAGCAAGGACCTCTGGAACTTCGCTAAACTTCTACCAGACTACACGGCGCAACAACTCAGAAAACAGCTGTCTTCAGTGTAATAATATTTTGATTACACATTTTTTTAAAAGCATTTGTTGCTATTTTACATACTTCATTGGCGTTTATGTTCTTATGTTGGAGATATAAATTTTCTGTCACAAAATTACGTAAACTTCATAATTATAAATTATTTATAATGTATGTTTAAAACAACAGGTTTAGATATCGATTTGTTCTTCTGAGTTGTCACGATCTTTTCGGAGGAAGTCGATTCTTTAGTTGCTCTAAATTAGACTTTTTTTTAAAGATATTCGTGTTCGTAATTTCATTTTCATATCGACGAAAGATCAAGAATGTACACGGGGGGAAATCACCAAAGGATCTTACTATTTTCGGATACGCTCACAGCTACCGCCAGTCTTTTTCAAAATGATCTTCAGGTCTCTTCACGTATTATCTCGGTTAGATCTTTATAAAATTTCTAATGACGTAAGTAGAATGAGCCAGCGATCATAGGTTGTGTGTGCTCAGTGATAAAGTCAGTCCCCCGGCTGTCAATTGTCTCTCGTATGTTAAAGCGAGCTCTTGGCCACTTCAGATTACTCAACATACTAGAGCAAAGAACAGATCGATAACTGACTTCATTGGGCGGAGTCTTTACGAGAAACTGATAGTTGCTTAGCTTTTAAAGAAATTCTCCGACTTTGGAGCCACATGATTTTATATATATATGCGTTTAATTTCAGTCTCTGTAAGGCGAATAGCATTTGGTAATGAATATGAATTTCTTGTCAGCAATTGTTTTCACTCTGCCTCTGAAGGCGAATAGCATTTGGTAATGAATATCAATTTCTTGTTAGCAATTGTTTTCACTCTGCCTATACGACGTCTGTGCCCTCTCACGGCTTCACTACATACTTTATTTGCGTTATTACCTTCAGTCTGAATAAAATAGACTACACAGTAACCCAGAAAGCGTGTGTTGTGTGATTAGGCTGTCACAGGATCGAATCTTGAAAGCCATTTCAGATATTAATTTATTTTCCATTAGCCCGGAACAGAACAGGATGATTGATTGTCTTTTCCAGGACTACGTTAGTCCCTATGGACAGTTGTTAATCGACCATCGCCGCACCTGCTAACTAAGTGTGCAGCCTATGATATCAAAATCAGACTTCACGTGACTTGTTTCAGGAACAGACTTTCTGATTTACATGAGGTTCTGAAAACGACGTGTGGAAAATACTGACCGACATTTCAGAGGATCTTACTGTTTCTGTTATACGCTATACAACATCCCAGAAGACAGTAATCTTCAACAAATTTCCTCTTCTTCAACTGTAATTGATTAAAACCTCTGGCCTATTGCTACTCAGAATTAATTAAGAAATAATGAATCATCTTATGGCGCTCCTGA